CAGAGCTGATGGATTGGTTCATCATTTATGACTTCTAATACCTTCTGACCCATGTCAAGACCCTTTCATCAACTTGTGAAATGGTTGAATGAGATATGCGAGTTGTTCTGTATGCTGTAAGCCGAGGAAGAAGTGTGCCAAAAATGCCAAAACACATGTTGTATACTGTATGTACACTAACCCTAACCCATAAATTGAAATTTCAAAAAGTCATTCATTTAAATTTTAAAACTACTAATAATGCGTGTGATTTTAAATCAAAGTCCCACCATAAATATGCTCTCATGTTTTTTCCCCTTTAGTCTCAAAAAAAAAAATGCTTCTCTTTTTATAGTTTTATTTTTTGGTTTTTCACAATAGTACAACAAATCCAAATTAATCAAACAAGCCATTAGGCTGTATTTTTAAACACTCAACTGTAGTTTTTTTTATATAGTATATAAGGCAAATCAAAGTGCTTAGGTCAGGAAATGTAGTTATTAAAGCAAGTCTTGAAGTAATTCAACTTCCCAATTAAACATCCAAATTCAGAAAAATTGGTTTGTGTGTGTATATAATAACCACTATAGTGTCTATAATTAAGTCACATTTTCAAGTTTTGGGCCAGTTTTTGCATTTGTTGAACCTCTAGTACCTTCACTGCACATGAGAAGCAGCTGAATAAGTCCTGTCAAGGATGCTTTCAGAGACCATCTGTAGCAGGTGAGTTGATGCAAGAAAAAAATGGGGTTGTGTCCATGTAAAACTGTCAGAAAACTCAGTGGAATAATGTCTATTATTATTAGTAAAATACACATATTTACACCTTCCTGTAAACTTTTCTGCACATAGTTTGTTCTACCATAAACAGAAGACGACTATTCGAAAACAGTTTCTTAAATTAATTTCAGTTTGTATAACTACATTCATTATTATTGTTGTAATGTAACATGTAGATATGATAATTACTATTATTCAAGCATATCTGACTTACAGTGTTTCCTCTTTGTTGATTTGACCGTGGTGGCCCCCACAGCAACATTTCGAGATGGTTCTCACTGCGGAACATGAAATCCATGGGGAGGAGTCGGATCCAGATCCAACTCCTCCCACCTTACATACACCTAAACCTACCCAACTCCGCCCCCTGATCCCTAAACCCCACCCCTAATCCCTAAACCCAACCCTAATCCTACCCATCTCCACCCCTTGGATCTTGATCCGACTCCTCCCCGTGGATCTCATGTACTGCATTGAGGTGCTACTGAACATTTCTGCCCCCCACGGTATCAGAAATAGGGCGATTATAGTGTCGATTTCACTGAATATGATCAAAAACTTGAGCATAGCAGTCTCTTGCATGCTTCATCATTCTGGTGACTTCTTGCTTCTTTCTCAAAGTTAAGCTGAGGAAACCCTCGATCCCTTCTTCATTTAGAGCCCACAGCTCACCTTATGGGAGTAAAACAAAAAATTATCAGAAAAAAAATTACAATGTAGAGTATAGTATTACAACACATTACTTAAATACGTACTTTGCAACGCCTCACTGGAAAGCTGGGATGACATCTCCTTGAGTGTGTCTGCACGAGTGGAGAGAGATTTCCAATGCTTTGCCATCTCAGAAAGAACAATCTTCTCTCCTCCTCAAGTCTCCTTATTGCCATCACAACATCAAACGCCTTCCTCTTGATTTTCAAATCTACAGCGTCTGGGATACAGTTGTGGAAAATAAGTAAATTGTAAGTATGATTATTTTTCAAATAATATTTGAGATAATCTGGGATAAGGCATAATTGGTTTTGTGCTACTTTGAATCAAACAAAATTGTCAACAGATTTGTGTACATACCACCATGTGAAAGTTGCCATGGCCAAACTGTCTCGTCAGAGAGAATGATGTCAAAGACGATTCTTTCTTTCTGACCTTTGCTGCCATCGGTGTCTTTGTAAAGGCGCTGGGACCTTCTTTTAATGCTGGCCACCAGCACCTCCATTCTACTGGTCACCGCGTCAAGATCGGCATTCTTTTGGGATGTTGTTGCTGAGAAGAAAAGAAGTGTAAACATTTCACTTACATTTTCATGGCAGTAACTGAAACGAGCTAAGTCTCAGTGTAACACAGAACGCCACAGGGAAGTCATAAGGATTACCTTAACCTCTTTGCTGCTTTTTTTTTCTTTATAAAAAAAAGCTCCTGGAGGAAGGACAGGTGAGTCTCAATATTCATTTCATATTTATTAGCATGTATAGGAAGTATGTAACAGGGTACCAAAGAAAATGACAACGTAGCCAAGATGGGATCCGCTAACTGCAAGAAATGTCGGAAACACTTTATTTTACGGTGTCCTTGTTACATATGTTACATGAACTTAAAATAGTAATAACAATAAATTATGCATAATTACATGTAACTAACCCTCAACCAAATCCTAATCCTACCCTAATCCTATAGTAAGTACATGTAGTTAATTAATTTACTCCGTATTTAAATGTATAATTACAATCTTAAAAGGACACCTTAAAATAAAGTGTTGAATGTCACCGAAATGTCCAATGTTCCAACTTTTGGACTGTGCACCATTCAGGTACTTTCAGGGCACTTTGTTTTGACATGATTTCCAGTGTGCATGCACTACATACTAAAATTTGGCATTTTAACTGCACAAGTAAATGACCAAGAAAACAGTGTATGTATGATTTCATTTTAAAACAGTAATTACTTGCAGAAGCATGTCTCCCATTATCTGCAGAACTGAGACATTGAAATAATAGTATAACTATCACCTTCTGCCCACTCCTTAATATCAGTGACCCAGCCCTCAACTTCAACCTGTGTCACTGCCAGCTGGATTTTCATGCTTTCCAGATCCTGAAGTTGGCTTTCCAGGCGTTTTGCGGCCTTCAAATAACAAAAAAAGGAAATGAAATAAAAATGTTATACCTACAAAAATATACAATAGAAGGTATTTACAATATAAGAAAATAACAATACTCATCTCTACCTTCTGATATCGGCAGGCAAGTGAAGCAGCCAAGTTATTAAACTTTTGCTGATTCCAGCGCATGGCCATCAGTGTAAGCATGTCTGTACGTCCTGTAAAAAAGAAAAAAATACACTAATCTGTGTTGTACCACATGTCCCTCACTGGCTACAATTTTCTTGTAACACATTCAATCTAAGTAGTGCAGTGTGTGGTTACCTTACCTGCTTTGGACATGTGCTTTGTGGTCACAGCAATCCTAGAGAGGAAGGCGTTACACTGCTCAACCTCCTCCCCAAGTGTCAATCCGGCCCCTTGCTGGTAAGCTCCACTCCATTTAACCTATTGAGGAAAATACTTAAAAGCTGCCAACATACCTTTGCAGGTGTTTAGGGACGGTTAATGACATGGTAATGTTTTCTTACCTCGCCTTTAAAATCATGGGCTTTGGCATGAAACACTGAGAGGAATGGTTTCATGCTCAGAAGGTGCTGGAGCTCCGGGCAGCTTTTTGTACTTGCAGGTTACATCCATGGCAAAAAAGCTTATTGACTTATTTGCCAGCTTGTTCTGCAGGTAGAGGGGATAAGCATATATTTCTCCCCTGAACATGTTGAGAGCACCGAGAAAAACTCCATGTCGACAGACCGCAAGCTCAAGTCCCTCCTCATCAATTTTACTAGAGGATCTCTGAGAAGTTTCCCTGGCAGCTGACCACTCCCCTCCACAGACACCTCTTCCAGAGACCTACAACATGGAAAAAGGTTGATATAAATAGTCAGGACTCACCCAAACAATGTCAACTGTAAAATGTTATTGGTCGTGTTTTTAGAAATATTATACAACAAGTTTACATGGTTGGTGTTGGAATGAATGTAATCCACAAATCTTTCTACTTCATCATCTTTTGCAATGAAGATGCCATCAAATAAGGCTTGTTCTTCAGATCTAATTGAAAGAAGGTACACATTGACCTTCATATGACACAGCAAGGTTACTTTAACAAACACTGCAAATTACACACATTTTGTAATACCTTGCTGCGTTCTTAAAGCGTAGTCTTGCGATTTCAGTCCACAGAACAGCAAGCATGTCTGGGTGCATGCAGGACAGATAAAATGCTCCTCCCTGCAGATCTTATCCACTTCAATCTAACAGCCTCCCACTCTAAAAGCTTTTTCTGAAGCTGTCTGCTGTGATCTTCCCAGTCTGTTCAGAACAGCAAACATGTCAACATAATTCACAGTTAAGTTAACTAAAGTTAAAGGTCAAAGGTGACACCAAATCCTCCTGCATCGAGCCTCCACAGGCAGTCGCTCAGCCCAGTGGATCTTTGGAAGTCTTTTGGCTCTTTGTATGTCACGGACAAAAAACATCACGACCAAAGTCCCCCCCAAAAAAGACCACAGCAAACTCGACTCCCACACCAAACTTAACCAAATGTCTTATGGACCTATTTGTTTTTTTTCTGAATGCAAACTGCATGACTAGGATGTGACATCACTACTTGATCTTATACACAGGTCTAATGTTTTGAGTGATTGAGTTGATAAATTGCTCCAATACTTTTGTACATTAGTATGTATGAATTTAGATTCTTTACTGAGTGGTAGTTTTTACACAAAGACTTTGAATCTTAGATGATGTTCTATTAATGTATCGAGTCCAGCTGAATCACTGTTTTGATTTCATCAACATGCTCCAATTATAATAATCAGTGTGTTGATAATGTCACCATAGTCGTTCTGCGATACACATCAATACTAGTACTAGTTGTTAGTGATTCCCACCACTCATACTCACACGGCCAAAGCGGACAGTTCGTTGATCAAGCATTCTTAAGAATGCTTGGCAGGACAGTCCTGGTGCTGCCATCTTCAATTCTTCATAAGAACAAAAAACATTTGTAGCGTACACCGTGGAAAAGCGGGTAGCAGGCCAGTAGTCATTACGGACTAAGTCATCCACATTTCATCTCAGGCATACTGAGATCATATCGTCCTGGAAAAATCAGGAAAAGTAGCCTACATTCATCACCTATGTAGTACATTCAGAACTAATAAAACTTAAAATCAGACATCTGGCAGTCTTTCTCATTTGTCAAGTGCCTCTTTTGTAAGACAGAACGCAAAACTGAACATCCCTCCTGCCTATCCTGGGTCTTTCACAGGCGGGAGATGCACATAAGGGTATAGATGCGGGCGGGAGCGGGACTAAAACACATTATTGCGGAACGGGACAGAATATTGTGGGAACGGGGGGTCGCAGGACTGAAAATCCTGCCCAGCGCAGACCACTATAGGGAACGTTTGAATAGAAATAGATCAGGACACATTTACAAAGCCAACAGCACTGCCTTGTTTTTTTTTCTATTCAAATAGGACAATGAAAAGTGGCAGGAAGCGAGTGGGAGAGCCCTATGGGGTGGAATCAGGTCTAAAGTCCAACCCAGGTCCCTATGGGCACTTTGCCCAGAATGTGATATGGACGCTAAAGCCACTTGATCTGGAATGTTCCCTTAAGTTCATTTTATTCTTACCATTCATTGTAACCACAGCAACAACTTTTCCTGTGTTGACACTCAACGATCCCGGAAAACAACTACATATTTTTTTGGGAATCTCCAACGGCACAATACACACTGAAAGACACATCATATGCAGGGATTAAAGACATGCATCATCCTATGTACTAACTGGGAAGTATTCTGCAATCATTTTCTTTTTCTTTTTTATCAATGATTTGAAAAGCTTTAAAGATAAAGGTCATTAAGTGTGTTTCAGAGAAAGTACTCAAAACATTCCTGTGAAGCCTATTATACTGTAAAGTTATTTAAATAAACTGAGAATGGAACTAGTGCTGCACAATATATAATTGCACTTTTTCTGACAGATAAAGCGATTACCATTTCCAATTCAATTTTTGAATGTGTATGATCTGATTCAGTTCAATATTCCAAATGTCTCTTTAATTTGTGCCACCCCTGATAAGTAAGCACAGCCAGTGTACAAGACTAACACCCCTGACCGTCTGAAGTTCACCAATCAGAATTTTTGTCCCCTTCACACACTACGCACACCCACCAACCAGAAGTTGCACAATCAAGGAGGATGACGTGAATATAAAAGTCAAATGTCACAAATGATATTTGAAGATTTTACCATTAGGCAGTTGCGTTGGATCATATTGCAATTACGATTGCAATAATTGTGCAGCCCTAAATAAGACACTCAAAGAAATAGAGCTTACCACACTGGGAAAGAGCCCTCTCCACGACACAGGTTGTTGGAGGCAATGGCTGAAAGAATCCAGCTATTGTTGCATCCCTGTTGTGGAACACATGGTTTCGGTGTATACTGACATCACAATCAGCACAAAAGAATGGTTGTGGTCGGCAGTCAGGACAACGGACAGTAGCTGCACTGCTGCCACATTGTTGGCAGATCTGAGTGTTCACATTTTGTTGTGCCACCATGGTATTCACCAGACAGGGTCTCTCTTTCTCCCACCTCTCTGAGAGGAGACTTTTTCTAGTAGACCAGTCTGAGGAAGCTTGTGGGGGTGCTGGTGCCGTTTCCTGATCATCCAAGTCATCACCCTGTGAGTGGTTTAGCTCTTCAAGGAAAGTCTCTGTTAAAATAGTACATCATATTTACAAACAATTTTCTACACTATCAAAGTGTGCAACATGTTGTCGGTTATTCTGTCGCAAAAACATGTAATTTACATTCTAATTATTAGAATCTATAAACATAATGAACTAATAGACACAAAATAAAGAACATACCAACACTAAAGGGATAGGGGGGAAGAGCAAAAGAGCAAGAACAACAGAGAACGTCTCGGGTTACGTATGTAACCCTGGTTCCCCGAGAAGGGGAACGAGAGACTGCGTCGGTTACGACACTATGGGAACGCCTCTAGGCGAAGCAGGTCTGAACGTGAATGAAATCACTCCAATCCTATTGGCCTGTTGCTAGAACGGTAAGGTGTGACGGAATAACCGGAGGAGTATAAAGCACACCTGTACACACTCATCATTAGCTTAAACTATGAAGCAGGCGCTTCAGGCGGGGAGAGGTGCGGCGGGCCGACGCAGTCTCTCGTTCCCCTTCTCGGGGAACCAGGGTTACATACGTAACCCGAGACGTTCCCCTTCGAGGGAACTCGAACTGCGTCGGTTACGACACTATGGGAACGAGATACCCACTAAACCGTGCCGAAAACCCCGCCTGCCCCTGTGTGCAATAAAGTGGCACTACTAAGAGGAGAGCGCACGAGTGCCAGGTGCCGAAGGAAGGTCAAGACTGTAAAACCGAATGAATGTGTGCGGAGTGGCACAGCCAGCCGCTAAACAACATCCTGCAAGAGGCCCCGGAAAGGAGGGCTCGAGAGGCCGCCTTGCCTCTGGTAGAATGAGCCCTCACAGCCACAGGTGAAGGCAAACCGCGCACCTGATAGGCCAGGGAAATAGTCTGAACAATCCAGTTGCTAATAGTATGTTTGGATGCAGGGAGCCCGGCCCTGGGAGACCCAAAACACACTAGCAGCTGGTCAGCCTTCCTCCAACGGGAGGACCTCAGAGTGTAAATACTCAGTGCTCTGACAGGGCAGAGCAGATGAAGTCTCCCGTCCTCCGCCGTCACATGAGGTGGAGGATGAAATGCCTGCAGCACTGTGGAACCTGCCGCACAAGAAGGCACTTTAGGGATGTATCCTGAATGAGGGTGCAGGATAGCCCTAATATTCCCCGGGGCAAACTCCAGGCTTTGCGGGGAAACCGAAAGCGCTTGGAGATCCCCCACCCTCCTTAGAGAGGTGATAGCAAGGAGAAAGGCCATCTTGAGGGTCAAGTGCTTAGCCTCAGCTGACTCCAGGGGTTTGAAGGGGGCCTCAGCCAACGCCCCAAGAACCACTGCCAGATCCCAAGTGGGAACCTTGGACCGAGTCGCAGGTCTCATCCTCCGGGCACCACGGAGGAAAGTACAACCAAGGGAAGTTTCCCCAAGAACCCCTCCCTCAGAGGGGTGTGGAAAGATGAAATAGCTGCCACGTACACCTTGAGGGTGGAAGGGGAAAGACCAGCAGAGAACCGGTCCTGGAGGAACTCAAGTACCTGAACCATCGGGCAGGTAACAGGGTCCACCGACCGCTCCCTACACCAAGTGGAGAAAACACTCCACTTCAGGCCGTACATCCTCCGTGTGGACGGGGCCCTGGAGCTCAGGAGGGTCTCGACTGCTCCGGCTGTTAGACCCGCCTCTAGGTACTGTGCCCCCTCAGGGGCCAGACCCACAGTCGCCATATGGCGGGGCAAGGGTGAAGAACCCGGCCCTGCGCCTGGGACAGCAGGTCTCTCCTCAGAGGGACCCGCCACGGCGGCCGTCCAGGAGCGACATGATGTCCGAGAACCACACCCGGGTTGGCCAGAACGGGGCTACGAGCAGTAGGCCGACATAGTCCTGGCGGACCCGCTCCA